CGGTGCACCGTCCAGTACCCCTCCTAAGGACTCCAAGAAGGCCGGGTACTCTGCACTGCTGTTAGGCCCGTAGGCCGTCACAACAGTGAGAGACTTGTCCCCCACCCGGAGGCGGAGGGACGCAACCCTCTCATTCACCGGGGAGAACTCCAACATGTGGCGGCTGAGATGGGGGGAAATGAGAATGGCCACCCCAGCTCGCCGCCTCTCCCCGCGGGAAACTCCAGAAAAGTGGAGCGTCCAATCGCTCTCAAGGAGTTGGGTTCCAGAGCCCAAGCTGTGTGTGGAGGTGAGGCCGACTATCTCTAGTCGGTATCGCTCAACCTCCCCCACGAGCTCGGGCTCCTTCCCCCCCAGTGAGGTGACGTTCCACGTCCCAAGAGCCAGATGTTGGGTGTGTGACTGGGTCGCCGAGGTCTCCGCCTTCGACCGCTGCCCAGTCCTCTCAGCACCGCGCCACCACGGACCCCTCTGCAGGTGGTGGGCCCACAGGAGGGACTGCCCACGTCATCCCTTCGGGCCGAGCCCGGCCGGGCCCCGTGGGCTAAGGCCCGGCCACCAGGCGCTCGCATACGAGCCCCGACCCCAGGCCTGGCTCCAGGGTGGGGCCCCGGCTGCGCCATGCCGGGCGACGTCACTGGTCTATTTATTGTGCTGTCCATGGTGGTTTTTGGACCGCTCTTCGTCTGACTCGTCACCTGAGACCTGTCTGCCATGGGAGGCCCTACCAGGGGCATGAAGCCCCAGACAGCATAGCTCCCAGGATCACCCGAGTACTCAAACTCCCCCACCACGTTAAGGTGGCAGTCCAGGGGGGACTAATGTAATTAGTTTGATCATTAGTTAGCTACTGTCAGATATTATAATAGATCCATGGGGGTCACGGGCTACGCCACTACTGTCTCTGAGAGAAACTATCGGAGCCACCCTCAATAAACACAAATGACAATCGACACATGTAAATATTAATGGGAGAATATATTATACACACATTCGTAACACACGTGCACGGAGGTTTTCAGAAGTATCTGTTCAGGTTTTCATGACAAAAATACTGTTTTAATGCGACTCAAGCGATCGCTTTTTTGAAGTAGGTGAACCAGCCTCACTGTTACTCGCCTGCCACGGGAAAACCTTTGAACTATTTTCTTTGCACTCATTAAATAAACCTTTCGGCAGTAATAAAAGTGACAGAAGTTTATTTTGTGTGTTCAGTTGTTACAAAGCCGTATAATAAGCGGACCCCGATGCGCTTCGTCTGAACTTATTTTCCGATAGTTACGAAGTTGAAAAAATCCCTCTCATCTTTCTTCAGGTGTGAGAATTGTAAACTTTCTGGATTAGGACAAACAATACAAATATGGATTAATGGGGTAAATGGTATAAAGAGAAAGTTTGTGCTAACTACATTCAGAAGAGCTCAGACGGACCTGATACCGCGGTCCAGACGGTCCAGGTCCAGTCCCAGCTAAACGTAGCTAGGACTGGATCTGGAGGCTCCACAGTTGGTCCAGCTTCACAGACCAAGTGTTTTGAACAAATACTGTATGTGTCTTTTTTAACACTTTCATGAGAGAAATTCTGCAGACCACAAACACCCACCTGTTGCACTTGTCCTGGTCTGGTCCTGGTCTGATCTGAGCAGACAGAGACGGATCGTGGTGCGCCAAACTCTGGAAGTTTATTTAAGTTTCTCTCAAGTTCCATTGGTTTCTATTGTTTCCTTCTCTCAGACAGAATAAAGTCAGTACACAGTTTATATAGTCATTGTCACGTCACACATGGAAAGACGTGTCACACAGAGACAGTCACATCAGAGTCACAATAATCAGAGTCTGCGTACAGTCCTGCACGTAGGCCATATTGCTCTCTAATACTAACACTACTTATAATGGCCTTATATTTCATTGTATAGTATAGTTTTCTGTGTTGGACCAATAGAGAATGGGTCCATATATGTATTCTCTGTTTATACGTCCCGTTTGTAATAATGTAATAATCAATGACTGTTTTTCAGATGTTGTTTCTGTGAGCACTGGATCTCCTCAGGGATGTATTTTGAGTCCTTTACTTTTTACATTGTACACTCACGATTGTGTGTCCTCCTCTGACTCCTCTAACCTGATCCTTAAATATGCTGATGACACCACCATCATCGGTCTCATCAGTAATAACGATGAATCGTCTTATAGAGCCGAGATCCAAAACGTGGTTCAGTGGAGTAAGGCTAACAACCTCCAGTTGAACGTTTCCAAAACATGTGAACTGGTCTTTGATTTCAGTTGCAATAGTTCTCATTTGCCTGTCGTAATCGATAACTCCCAGGTGCAGATCGTAGAGGAGCAAGTTTCTGGGTTTAACTCTGTCTAACCTGAAATGGGTTAAAAACACTGACCGGGTCGTAAAGAAAGCTCGTCAGCGTCTCTACTTTCTGCGTAAACTTAGAGAATTTACCACTAACTCTAAGATTGTGCTTAACTTTTATCGCTGCACCATTGAGAGTTTACTTGTTGGTTCTGTGTCTGTGTGGTTCGGAAACATCACAGATAAAGAAAAGGGAGCTTTAAACAAGGTGCTCCGCTCTGCAAAGAGGACCGTGGGCTGTGAGCTTCCTGTTCTGGAGGTTCTTTATAAATCCAGACTTTTTAACAGTGCCCTGAGAATTATCAATGACTCTTCTGGCCACCCAGGAAAAGCCTTGTTCCAGCTTCTTCCCTCTGGCAGAAGATACTGTTCTCTGAGATGCAGGACATCTCGTTATGCTAATAGTTTTTTTCCATGAGCTGTTAACAGTTTGAATAGAGCACTTTAATGTTTTTGCACTCGTATAGATCTGTTTTAGTTGGTCAACTTCACGGTGACATTTGTTTACTGTTTTTAAAATTTGTTTTATTTTTGTCTTTTAATGTTGTTTTATGTCTGTACTTGTCCTGTGCACACTGGGAACTTTTACTAATGTATTCCAATGTAGTGTTACTGCAAATGGCAAATAAAATGAATCTGAATCTGAATCTGAATGTATTTTGCTCAATGGGAGGGGCAAAGGGACTATAAAGGAGAGCCGTGTCTGGCACCCGTCAATCTGCTGCTGGTTACAGAGGAGGTAACTACCTGGCACCCGTCAGTCTGCCGCTGGTTACAGAGGAGGTAACTTTTCCTGTTAAATTCTCTGTACATATGCTCTGCGCTGCCTGCACCGATCTTTATGCACTTTGGAGAAAATAAAAACACAAATAATCACGGCAATCCGAGCTCGCTTGTATTTTTTTTGGAGTAACCCACGACAGACACTATTTACTTGAGAGAGACAAAACAGTTAAAATTTAGAGTTGAAAATATAAAATAGTTTTTTGTTAAAAGATCAATCAGGCTTTGGGTTAAAAGGTTAAAAGGTAAGATGAAACGGTTAAAAATCATGTAAATGTAAAAAAACAACTGTAAAATATCTGAGTTTGAAAACAGAGCAGCTTTAACACCAGAGACAGGTGTAGGAGCAGAGAGTTTTCTATCTGCAAACTGTGGAAGTCTGTAACGCTCATTTTTACTATTATTTTGTTAAATAAATGGACTGAACTGGAGTCTCCCTGGTCTCAGCGTCAGAGGAACTTTCACCTCTGACTCTCACTACACATATTACACTATATTTACTGTAAGTACAGTACAGAGCAAAAGTTTGGACCCCTTCTCATTCATAGAGTTTGTTATTTTCATGATTATAAAACTGTAGATTGACACTGAGGGCCTCAAACCTATGATGAACTCACGTGAATGATTTTCGTAGTAAAAAAGTATGAACCAAGTGTAAATATGTGTTATATTCTGGTTCTTCAAAGTAGCTCCTTTTGCTCTGATACTGCTTCACTCTTGGCATTCTCTGGATGAGCTTCAACAGGACCTGAAATGGTCTCCAACAGTCTGGAAGGAGTTCCCATGATGCTTAGCACCATCACTCTCCTTATTGGTCAAACAGCCCTTACACAGCCTGGTGCGGGTCTACAGCAATAGTCATGAACAGAACTCAGTGAAGGAGAGAGGGTGTCCACACTTTTGCTCTCTACTGTATGTGGTGACACAAGTATCGGAGTAAAAAAAGCTTTCTGGCTGTAACTCCCTGTGCTGCCACCAGGAGGAGCTGCAGAGCCCTCAATCACAGATTAGAGAATCAAACCATCAGAACCACACTGTCTTTAGACCGTCCTCTGAAGGAAAACTCCAAAACCCTTGGACCAGACTCTTTCTGTGGAGACAAAACAAATGTATAAAGTTAGGTACCCGAGCTTTAATATGTGGCCCATACTGTGTAGAGTTTCACAGGCCACAGTCTGTAGCAGCAGCAGAGCCAGTCTCAGGCCTGATGGGATTTCCTCCTGGTGCACGGGGAAACTTTGGACTCCCTCCCACTCCCTTCCCCCGGTCTGCAGCCTGCCCCTGTCTGCCTCTGCTTTAGCCCCCGCCTGCCTCTGCTTTAGCCCCCGCCTGCTTCTGCTTTAGCCCCCGCCTGCCTCTGCTTTAGCCCCCGCCTGCCTCTGCTTTAACCCCCGCCTGCCTCTGCTTTAGCCCCCGCCTGCCTCTACCTCTGCCTCGGCCCCCCCTGCCTCTGCTTTAGCCCCCGCCTGCCTCTGCTTTAGCCCCCGCCTGCCTCTGCTTTAGCCCCCCTGCCTGCCTCTGCTTTAGCCCCCGCCTGCCTCTGCTTTAGCCCCCGCCTGCCTCTGCTTTAGCCCCCGCCTGCCTCTGCTTTAGCCCCCGCCTGCCTCTGCTTTAGCCCCCGCCTGCCTCTGCTCTAGCCCCCGTCTGCCTCTGCTTTAGCCCCCGCCTGCCTCTGCTCTAGCCCCCGTCTGCCTCTGCTTTAGCCCCCGCCTGCCTCTGCTCTAGCCCCCGCCTGCCTCTGCTCTAGCCCCCGCCTGCCTCTGCTCTAGCCCCCGCCTGCCTCTGCTTTAGCCCCCGCCTGCCTCTGCTTTAGCCCCCGCCTGCCTCTGCTCTAACCCCCGCCTGCCTCTGCTTTAGCCCCCGCCTGCCTCTGCTTTAGCCCCCGCCTGCCTCTGCTTTAGCCCCCGCCTGCCTCTACCTCTGCCTCTGCCCCCCCTGCCTAGCACTCTCCTGCCCCCCTCCTGCCCTGGACAAAAGGCTCCCCTCCCTGAGCTCAGACACTTTTCTCTCGCAGCAACACGTCGATGACAAACGGATGGTTCTGTTTTCACCAACTCTGACTCTGAGCTGCTCGACAGAAGAACCACAGGATCCTGAGCCGGACTTTAACACAAGAAGAGTTTACAGTAAGTTCTGTCACTTTGGACTTTTTCTGTGTTTAGTTGAAGAACCGGTCCCAAGCCTGGATAAATGTACTGACGGTTAAACATTATTGCTTGTCTATATTGTACATTAACAGATGTTTTTTTTTCTATTATCTCTGTCTTTTAAACTGTAAATAATATTATCTTATTATTATTCTTACTTTCTCTGTGATCTGGAACAGTCTTCTTGAAAATGTGAGACAGGCTCCTTTTCTGACAAGGTTCAGGTTAAAACAGTTTGTAAGGACCTTAGCTTTAAACTGGGCTGCAGTCTCTGACCAGGTGCACACAGAGCGCAGTGAAAACAGCGGAGCCTCACGTGTGTCGTTAGCATCAGTGTCGTTAGCATCAGTGTCGTTAGCATCCGTGTCGTTAGCATCAGTGTCGTTAGCATCCGTGTCGTTAGCATCTGTGTCGTTAGCATCTGTGTCGTTAGCATCAGTGTCGTTAGCATCCGTGTCGTTAGCATCAGTGTGGTTAGCATCAGTGTCGTTAGCATCCGTGTCGTTAGCATCCGTGTCGTTAGCATCAGTGTCGTTAGCATCCGTGTTGTTAGCATCAGTGTGGTTAGCATCAGTGTCGTTAGCATCCGTGTCGTTAGCATCCGTGTTGTTAGCATCAGTGTGGTTAGCATCAGTGTCGTTAGCATCCGTGTCGTTAGCATCAGTGTGGTTAGCATCAGTGTCGTTAGCATCCGTGTCGTTAGTATCCGTGTCGTTAGCATCCGTGTCGTTAGCATCCGTGTCGTTAGCATCCGTGTCGTTAGCATCCGTGTCGTTAGCATCCGTGTCGTTAGCATCAGTGTGGTTTTGATTGACAGGTCACAGACCGTTCGAGGCTGATTTCCTCGAACCGTTTCAGGAAACTGGAAAAACATTGAGAGAAAATGTCAACGCACTTTTCTTTCTTAATAAACAGTTTGGTTCAAGGATGGTGCGGTTTAAAGGAGACGTCTGAGGCCACATAGTCTGCAGTCAAACCATGAAACAATGAAACTATGAAACTGTGAAACTAAAACCAGAATCAGCTTTTTATTGAAATTGTAAGATTCAGGACGTCACAAACTGAGAATCTGTTTGACTCTCGCTGCAAACACGTGATAAAAGTGAAAGTTTCCAGGCTGTAAATCTGTGCTCTATCTTATAAAGTTGAACCTTTCAACATTTCGCCACATTTCAGGCTTCAAACATAACGATATAAAAGTAATTTTTTTGGTCATGAATCAACAACAAGTGGGACACAATCGTGAAGTGGAACGAAATTTATTAGATAATTTAAAAAAAATGTAACAAATAAACTGAAAAGTGGGGCGTGCAATATTATTCGGCCCCTTGCGCTAATACTTTGTAGCGCCACCTTTTGCTGCAATTACAGCTGCAAGTCGCTTGGGGTATGTTGTGGCTCTATCAGTTTTGCACATCGAAGATCATACACACGAGTTCACTGTGTCATCCATCCAACTTCAGCTCAGCCCACATAGACCTCGTTCTAAAGCTCAGTTCACTGTAATAAGTGAATCAGAGCAAACTTGGATGTAAAATATTCTAAGTAACATTCTGTATAACATTATCACAGCTCCCTGTACAATACTGAGTCTACTGCTTTAAGTGAAAATACTTTAAGTATTTCTTCTGTAATCCTGAAGTTACATTAATGACAAACAAATATATTGTGCTGATTGAAAACAAAATTTGGCAAAGCAGTGACCCTACCCAGAATGCATTGCAGAGCAAAATATTAACTTCTTAAAAATTCTACATTGAAGCATTAATTTTAAGAGTGAATATGAAGTAAGTGCTAAAGCAAAACACTTGAGCAATATTTTGAATAAATTAATTTGATCAAATATCCATCCATCCATCCATTTTCTTCCCTTTAATCCATTTCTGGGTCAGGGGGGTGGCAGTCAGAGATGCACCAGCCCCTCACTGACCCTCTGCAGGTGGTGAGTCCACAGGAGGACGGCTGCTCTCTGACTGTGAGCATAGCCTTGATCTTTCAGTGGGGGCTTTGGGCAAAGTGCGGTTAAGTGTCTTGCCCAAGGACACAACGACAGCAGTCATCAGTGGGAGTCGGTGGAGAAGGTGCAGAGGTGGGAATTAATTTGATCAAATAAGTAATTGTATTTATTTTTACCGTAATCGACAGGACCCGGGGTCTGTTAGCTTTAATCTAACAAACTTCCTCCAGGAGCGGAGGAAGTAAAACACAAGTTTTACGTAAATCAATCACTTCAAAGTTATAGTTTTACATTCTGTCAAATTGAATTCAATAAACTTTATAAGTTAAAAACCAGCTGAAGTCGATGGGACTGAAAACTGACACTTTTTACAGTTTCTGGGATTCAGACTTTGTACAAACTTTACTTCTGTTAATGTTGCTGATGAGATGGTAAACATGTGTCATTCAGCCAACTTCAGCTCTGTTGCAGATCATTTTGAAGCTCAGAACGGCCCGATGGTGAAAGTGGCTCTGACTAAAATGTTTGGACGCCCCTGCTCAGAGGCGGGACCCCAAAAACAACACATTTAAACAAATGTGAGAAATTATACCAAATACATCAAATCCTTAAACCATTTCTAAACATTTGACCCATTTTTAGGGCTGCAGTGAAGCGAGTTTATCTGTATAGCACAGTTAATAACTCAAAGGAAACAGTCACAGAAAAAGAGTCAAGATAAAATCCTTCAGATGTTGGATTTGAACATTGTCTCACATTTACAGGAAGACTGGTCCAGGTTTTATCATGAATATCAAATTAAATTCTATAACGACAGAAATATTTTTATTTATTTTTTAAAATAAAATAATGTTGCTGGACACATTTCAAACAGTGAGAGTCGAGCCGCAGTGACGTTACAGAGTCTGCACCAGATTTAAAGAAGCTTTACCCGATTTATTTCTAATGAGTTCATAAAAATGATTATTACTACAAACAAATGTTTTTATTTATAATCCGTAATGTAATGTAAAAGTTGAGCTCATTGATTCAGCGGTGTATGAAGTGCTGAGAGACTTAGCGTGACACCCGCTCTCCTCCAATCACAGATTGAGGAGTGGCGCTGTTACGAACAGGCGACGCCT